TCTGAAATTCAGTTTCTTCAATTGTGAACTGGAAATAAAATACACATATCACAGGATTTTCTAAGGACTAATTGAAGGTTAGAGTATTTGAGGATACTTTGCAAGCTATAAAGTACTTTATATGGCTATAAAGTGGAGATAATTATAACACAAATGCAAGAACTCAGGATGTTTTTCTTCTATATAACCCTGTAAGCTTTCAAAACTGCCACAGCATGATAAATTATAGGAATTTATCTTAATCATAACATTTGCAAAGTCTCTTTTTTATTTTACATAAATATAGTAGGTACTCAATGCTTGGGTGGAAGTATTGTTGGTTGGATGAATGGGAGAGACGAAGGGAGACAGCATATTAAAGTAAATAAGAGAGCTGTTCATGAAATTTTAAAAGTTCCTTTTTTAACATTCTTTTTAAACATTGCTTGATATGAACTATGTGTGTTACACTGAGGGGTGGGAGGCATTTAGTTCATTGAGTTAGTAAGCCTGTTTTTCTGCTATTTGTTTTTTAATTCAACAAACATTTATTGAGCAACTGCCATCAGTTGGGCATTGTGCAAGTTTCAGGGAAAACACAATTGATGATGTCACCATTTTTTTATGCCTGTTTTCTTCAGCTGCTACTTTTGCTCCTTAAACATTTTGAGGATTGCAGAATAAACTGACACTGGTATGGTCATATGAAGGGCCCCAGTGGTACTGAGGGCTGCACTTGTGTCAAAAATCACATCTTGTGAATTGTTTCCTAATGTACATGTGCAGCCTGTGATTCCTCTATGGATCGCAAAATATGTTTCTCCAGAAAGAAGAAAGCTCCTCCCACCTTTTCTTGCTTTTCCCTGCTTGTCTCTGAACCTCTTTTCTCGGGGACAGCCCACCAAAACACTGTGTGGCCAAAGGAAAAATAAGATATGTCAACTCTCTGACTCATGTGGTCTTGCAGTGAACATCAGCTATGCATGGCTGCTGAATGGGGGTGGACATTAGGCAGAGCATAGAGAACCTCTCTTTTTTTTTTTTTTTTTGAGACGGAGTCTCACTCTGTCGCCCAGGCTAGAGTGCAGTGGCCGGATCTCAGCTCACTGCAAGCTCCGCCTCCCAGGTTTACGCCATTCTCCTGCCTCAGCCTCCCGAGTAGCTGGGACTACAGGCGCCCGCCACCTCACCCGGCTAGTTTTTTGTATTTTTTAGTAGAGACGGGGTTTCACCGTGTTAGCCAGGATGGTCTCGATCTCCTGACCTCGTGATCCACCCGTCTCGGCCTCCCAAAGTGCTGGGATTACAGGCTTGAGCCACCGCGCCCGGCTGAGAACCTCTCTTGAGGGGAAATCAGGCTAGTCCCGCCCAACATATATAATTTTAGGTAAGGAGACACCTCAGCTCGTGTTTTAGGATAAGCTCTGTGTATATATTGAGAATGGCTGAGGAAGGACCTCCATTTGTAATTCATTTCTCTCATTGTGGAAGTGAGAGAACCAGTTCAAACTTTTAGGCTATTTGTGGCAGAATTGGGGCTGAAACTCTGTTTTTCTAACTCTTAGCCCATGGCTGTCACTGTGTTTCATGGTGAACTAGCACTTCCAAGTATGTTTTCATTATATAAGACAATTATAACATCATAAAGTGAGGAGTATAGAAAGAACATAAGCTTTGGAGTCAGACAGAACATGGTCAGATCCTGGCACTGCTTCTTAAATCCGCGTGGCTTTGGGCAAGTTACCTGAACACTCTGTTCTTCTGCTTCTGCATCTATTAAGAGGAAGAAAGAATGTTTACCTTTTATGGATGTCGCAAAGATTAAACGAGAGAACATTCAAAGAGCTCAGCACAGTACCCAGCCTATCTTTGATGTTGATATGTTTACTAGAAAGGAAGAAAGAATCTAATTGTCTCTTGAGAGGGGGTTCAGATGAGGATGATAATGATGGTGATGCTGGTGGTGGTGGAGAGAGTGATGGCGGTAGTGATGATGGTGACAGAGCTACCATTAAACATCTCTTTTTAAGTATTTCTGCAATATCACAACAACCATTTGATGTTGTTATTTTCCTCATTTTATAGCAGATCCTTCTGTCTCTAAATTCCACCCTTTTCTCATAATAGCACACTAGTTCTCAGGTTCTAAGTCTAGATATAGCAACAATGAATCTGCCAACCCAAGAAGAAACAAGTGAATATTCCCTACAAATTTCTGGTTCCTTCATTTTAATTCCCTTTTAGTATTGAATGACCCTGTAACATTAACTTTGCCTGCACTTTATATGTATGCAACCGGTAAATGTGGGTGATTCTCAGGAATTCCTTGAACCTATTTATGATACTGTGGACCAGCTGTGGCCAACTCCTTTTTTGTCAAGGATCTCAGAATCAATGTATTTAAGATTCCAATATTTTGAGATATACAGATAAGTAAACATTGACTGCCCGACTGTTGGATTTTTATCTTAGAGAAAAACCTGTGAGTCTTGGTGGCGAAGAACCAGCACTTTGGAATCAGATTACCTGAATGTGAATCACAGCCCTATTCCTTGTGAGCTGCGTGACCCTGATGAAGTTACTACTCATTTCTAAGCTTCGGTTTTCTTACCCATAAAATGAGGATAATACTAATACCAGTCATATTAGGTTGTTGTAAGAATAAAATGAGACATGTATAGAAAGAGCATGTAAAAAGAGCTCACTTAAAATGAGTTCATATCTTGGGTTATTCCAGTACAAAAGCCTTTGTGCCCTGAATGGAGAATCATATCACTCAGGATCCATCCAGCAAAACATAAACCACTCTAAGTGTTTAAAAAACAGGCAATTTAATACCCAAAAATGGTGATCCTGATGATGGAGGAGCTGAGAAGAGCTACATTCCCTATGAAGCAATTCAGAGATCAGTGAAATGGAAATGGCTACCATCCCCAAGCTGGAGGGACTAAGGAGGGAGGTGGTGTTCCCATCGTCTAAAGGCAGGGGACACCAGCAGATGCTGGAGCCATAGCGGCCCTGTCAGCAGAGCCCGAGTGGTGGAGGAGAAACAGCTGCTGCCTGGCACAGAAGAGAAGTAAATAGGCTCTTGCTTCCCCTTCCCTCCAGGCCCAGATCTCCCAGCAGGGCCAACCTTGGCTGACTTGCCTGCAGGGGCAGCCCCACAGTACTGAGCAGAGCAGGGGACTTGATCTGAAAACACATAGGCCAAGGATTCTTGCAGGCAAAAGTCTCAGACCTTTATTGCCTGGTTGTGGATATCTAACTACTGGGTGATAACTAACATAGAAAGTTTGGAAGAGTCTTACTTCCCCCTGCTGCTAGACCTCTGAACAATAGCAGAGGTTCATAGGTTGCTGTGCCCCAGAAGGTAGAGTTTGGAAAAAGCAGTGGAAAACCCTCGAAAGCTGTAAGAACCCTGTCTCTGGCCTTTTTCTCACATTAGTTTCTAGCAAGGGCTGCTGCTGAGCAGCCAGTGCCTTCAGTATCTGGGGATTGTGGCCTGATGAGACATTCCTACCCTGCCATTTACCTGGCTAACTTCTGCAGAATTGAGTATAGACTGAACTTCCTTGGGCCCCTATAGGTGGGTTAGCTGCCCTTGCGGCCCCTCCTGTGATATTCTGATTTCCCTGCACTGAAATGCTCCATTTAGACTTCCCTCTCCTTCCCACCAGATTGTGAACAGGGACTTGTCTTCATCCTTGCATCCCCAAGCATTGGTACTCCTACTTCCTGCACTGAGCTAGCTACTGTGGTAGGTCCTGGGCTAAGCATTTGAGTAAGAGTACCAGCCCCTAGCAACTTTTATTATAGAAGGAAGGCAGATGGGATATGTGATATTTCACAATTACCAGTGTATTTTGTGCTAGGGAAGTCCAGTGCATGACACTATTTAACAGGGAGAATCATCTGTCCTAGAGGATCAGGGAAGCCCTGTCAATAGGAACTGGCCTGACAGAGAGGTTGGGGGAATGGCATTCCAGGCAGAGGGAAGAGCAAATGTGAAGGTCTTGAGGTGGGAAAGAGCATCGAGGATTAGAGATTGAGAACAAACATGGCATTGCGTGGGAGCTGATGAGGTCAGCAGGAGCTGTTCTCTCCTGTGTCCCAGTCTCTGCGTCCTGCCTGAGCACTTTCTACCCCCAGCTTTGTGTTGTAGTTCTGCATGTCTGCATGTTTGTGGCTTCCACATCACACTTAGTATATATCGTTTTGTGCATAGAAGGGACTTGTTGGATATTTGAGCAAGTGAATACAATTCCACACCGTAAACAATCTTCCTAGCTTTCTTGTCACATTTGTAACGTTAGTTGCCCTGCAAGTATCAAGGAATACGAGCCCTATGGGGAAGTAGCCTGAATTTCTACCATTTATGGGAAACCCTCTGCTATTTGGCATTCTGTTACTAGGAACTCGCTCTCAGTCATCTCCTTCACACTTGGAGTTCTACGATAAGTAGTAATAAGAATGGTGACCTAGGGATGCCAGAAAGATTCAGTCATCAGACAGTTCCTTTGCTTTGACTTCTTTGGGATTGAGATGTGATGTGTTAAACCAGATTCCATTTGGCTGTGCTCCTTCCTAGCAGTGTGGCCTTGGGCAAGTCAGTTAACCTCTACAGACTTTAGTTTCTCCTCTGATGTCTAGCATTATTAATATCTATGATGGGGTTAAAATGAGACCATGTATGCAAATACGTAGCATAGTGCCTGGTATTAAGTGAGCACAAAATAACTGATAGCTGCTGCTTTTGCTATGACAATTACAATTACTGCCATCATTATAATGTTGGGTGCCATACATTGACCAGAACAAAGCAAAATCCGAGCAGGCTTCTGAGTTTTCCCATGCAGGCAAGTATGCCCTTTGGGTGTCTGCTTGAGACTGCCCTACACACAGGACTCTTCCTCCATGTTGTTTGACTATTAAAAAGAAGATTTGTTAATGCTTGTTTTTAGCTTTCTCTCCCTCTTTTTTATATGTTAAAGAGGATTTGTTTTTGTTTTCCTTTCTCACAGGAGTGATTGGGGCAGATGTGAAAGGGCACGGCCTTGTCTGTGAGGGGCAGCCAGTGACGTCACGGCTGGCTGTCATCTGTGGAACATCTTCTTGTCACATGGGGGTGAGTCCACTAAGCACAAAGGCAAAGCCACCACACAGCAGGCGGCAGCCTGGAAGAAGACCCTGAGTGCTGGCTTCTTCACCCCTTCACTTCTTTCCTCTCTTCCCTTCCTGCCCCTTGTGCTTTGTCTAGCCAGAAGCTCAGCTCCCCACTCCACCTCCCTTGCTTACATTTGCTGGATCTTTTTCCAGGGGCCAAATTCTTAGTAAGCATGAAAAGGATTGAGTGCTCCGTTTGACGTCACCCTGGCCAGAGAGCCCAGGCATAAATGGTGACATCTGATCCTAAAGTGACAAAGTCTAGCTCCCCCAGACTGATCTGTCTCTAATGGGTAGGGGGGTCTTCTCTGCAAAGAGTGTCTGTTTTCCTTGGCCAGGGAACTCTCTCTCAATCAATATAAATCCATCTCCCTGGGAGCGTCCTGATGATCTATAGAATTAGACTGCATATCATGACTTCAAAAGAACACTGATAAGCAATTTTCACTTTGTTAATTTTTCTCCATGAATTAGTGGAAAGGCTTTCTCCAAGATTGCAGTTAAAATTTAGTGCCTGCCCTAAAATTTATATCTTCTTTAAATGCATGAGTCTGAAAGCATTCCATTCCGATAAGTACCCATTTCTACCATATTTTTATTTAAAAGTCATTACTCTGTTAAACTTAAATCGACGACTCTTTGGAATTTTCCCAGATAAGTGAAATAGAGGGAAGAGTGGGGGAGGAGCAGGGAGATGAGCAGAGATTAGAGTGGGACACAGCCCAGGGCAGAATCAAAGCAGCTATGGAGGAAATTATGTGGGATTTGAAACTGTTTTGCAACTGTAGGGACCCCTGAGCCTTTCTACCATCAGATATTCTGGTTCAGTGAATATAAATATATGTACTTATTTGTCAGTCCCTGCTCTTGTGCTAAACTGTGGATATAAGAATGACATTGGCTCTCCCATTGATGAGATGAAGTTATAACAGGTATTAGAATATAATGCGAGGCCCCCCAATGTAGATACAAATTGATCTCATGATACTAAGCATCTGTTACGTGCCAAGCAATATGCGAGGTATTCTTGCACATGGCATCCCATTTTGTGTGGCTGAGGGAGTCAGCCCAAGTGGTTTCCAGTCCCACTTCCTCATTTTACTAAGTGTGGGCCTTTGGGCAAGGTATTTAAACTCTCTGGGCCCCAGATTCCTCATCTGCAATATGTAGAGAGCAACAGCACCTGTCAGAGTGCTGCAAGAATTAAATGAGGTAATACTAAGTGTTCCACGTGCAGTAAGCACATCCCAAGAGCTCACTCTTAATTACTAGGACTGTTGTTGTTACTGAGCAGAAAGCAAACAGTGACTGACTCTGCCTGGGAGGGTGCAGGGTGATAGAATCTTCTTGAGATGACATTCCTGCTGGACTTTAAGGAAATAGATTTCCTTCTGTTTGTCAGGGCTCTGGGCAGTCTTGAATGGAATTTGTCTAAGTTTTAAAATTGCAGCATATTTGCCTGGGCACAGTGGCTCACGCCCGTAATCCCAACACTTTCGGAGGCCAAGGTGGGTAGATCACCTGAGACCAAGAGTTCAAGACCAACCTGGCCAACATGGTGAAATCCCATCTCTACTACAAATACAAAAAATTAGCCGGGCATGGTGGCAGGCACCTGTAATCCCAGCTACTCAGGAGGCTGAGGCAGGAGAATTGCTTGAACCCGGAAGGCAGAGGTTGCAGTGAGCCAAGATTGCGCCATAGCACTCCAGCCTGGACAACAAGAGCAAAACTCCATCTCAAAAATAATAATAATAATTGCAGCATATTTCTTCTGCTCAGCAGCCCTTTTGTAAGGCTCAGCTGTCCCTAAAGGGAGAGATCTGCAGAGGCCTGAGGCCTCTTTAAGCCAGAAGGCACCAGCCCAGGAGCCAGCCCTTCTTTCCCTTGGTATGAGTCTACACTTGTTAGATTGTCTTCAGTGAATACTGATTTAATCCTGTTTAAATTATCTCATTTTCACAGGGATGCATCTAATCAGGCTTCTCCTGGGAGATCTGAATTTCAGGCATTTTTATCCCACTCAATTCAGATTTCCGAACAGAAGCAAATCTAAGTGAATGCAAGTGTCTCTGTGATGGCCTGCTTCTCAGTCTTACTGTCTCTTAATGGAGATGAGACTGGCTTTCCCTACCCATTTATTTTACACATTTGGGACCTAAAGCATGGAAAAGTCCGGTAATTTTCCCAAAGTCACAACAAGCTTTGAAGTTCTGGAGCTAAGAACTCAAATCTAACTCTGATTCCAAAGCTCCTACTCCTCCTTTCCTCCCTGAATTGTGCATGAGTATGATGCACCCATAGAGGAATGGTGAGAGCATGGGCTTTTACATTGTCCAGAGGCAAGCTTGAACATCTGCTCATGCACGTTTTGGCCCTCTGACCTGAGTAAGCTACTTAACTTCTCTGAGCCTCAGATTCTTCATCCATCAAATTGGGGATAATGATGCCAGTCTCACAGGGTTGTTGAGTAACATGCACTATGTAGATTTGTACCTAGCACACAGCAGACACTCAAAAATAGTGGAGATTGTTATTAAACTTTCCTAGTGATGTCAGCGGCTCACATGAAGCAACTGTTTGGGCTTTAACGAGTTTGATGGGCAGCTGCAGTTGGTTGCCATGAATGAGGGCCATAAAATGCCAGTTTATGATGACCGTGTTGGGCTGGAAATACAGTTCCCACCCCAACCTGCTTTGTACTTGGGGGTGGGAAGGGACCCTCTGGGCCAAGGGGATTAATCATCAGCTTTAATGTTGTGTCATGAGGGCGAGACTGTGGTCATGCTGGCATGGGAAAGTGTCTTTGATCTCCTCAGGTGCTGGGAGCCCAGCAACAATAACACCTTTGTTAGGTCTAGGAAAGGTGCAGGTCTGAGGAAACACTCCCAGGGAGACTCAAGGACCCCCTTTGTTGTGGTTCTGGCAAATAAAACCGCCAGTGTGAGGAAAAATTTGCCAAACAGAACACAGGGACCAAAGGGGGCTGTGGGTTTTTCAAAAAGTAGTTTTCAGCATGATCTGAAGGATCCTCTTTCTTCCTGTCTGCTCACTTCTGATGTTTCCAATTTAGTAGATTGAGACAAAATTCCCAGGAACATTTTGTACTCAATCCAGGTTACCTCCTTCTAGATCACCCAAAAAGAATAAATGAATGAACGAATGACCATGTAAGTGAGTATTGGTAAATACTTAGAAGCTTCCTACCTCTAGGTTCCTGTTGCTTCCAGGAATCAGGAGAAAAAGCCTGAGGTTGAACATAAGACATATTAATAAGGCCTTTGATATTTTAGAAGATACAAGCATGGCTGCACATTTATCTTCCTTGTGGATGACTTAATTAACAGGGGGAATACTGCCGTTCTTTTTTTAACTCCATGAAAGCAGAGCTGCTTGTTCAGAGTTAATTACTACCAAGTCACCAAAACCCCAGATAATACACAGCAGGGGTTAGCCAGAGGTTGAAAAGTCATGGGGTAAGATGGAACTGATCCTTACCATTGCACCAGCACCCTTTTCTTGAGCCATCAAGTTGGGCTGTAACTTGGCAGCTTGTCTTCCAATTAGCATGTCAGTTGGGGAGAGGACCCTGGGGGGTTGGGGTAGGGAGAAACACTGAGGAGGTAAGATTTGAGCAGAGCAATACTTGAAGAGAGCTGGGAACTACATCTGCATCTTATTTTTATTTATTTATTTTTTTTTTTGAGACGGAGTCGTCGCTCTGTGGCCCAGGCTGGAGTGCTGTGGCCGGATCTCAGCTCACTGCAAGCTCCGCCTCCCGGGTTTACGCCATTCTCCTGCCTCAGCCTCCCGAGTAGCTGGGACTACAGACGTCCGCCACCTCGCCCGGCTAGTTTTTTTTTTTTGTATTTTTTAGTAGAGACGGGGTTTCACTGTGTTAGCCAGGATGGTCTCGATCTCCTAACCTCGTGATCTGCCCGTCTCGGCCTCCCAAAGTGCTGGGATTACAGGCTTGAGCCACCGCGCCCGGCTACATCTGCATCTTAAATCACTCAGAACTGAAGTTTTTTCAGTCTTAATGTAGAGATGGTGATTCTCTATCATTGAATGGATGTGGAAACTCAAAAGACATAGGCTTATACGCTGCCCCCACTACTTACTGTGTGAATTTAGGCAGGATGCTTCATCTTTCACTGCCTCAGTTTCTGCATCTGTTAAATGTGAGCAATAGTATTTACCCATAAAGTTTTGTTCAGGTTCAAATTAGACCATCTTTGTAAATGACTTGGCACTGTACCTGGCACAAAATACCAAATATGATATTGTTATTAAAAATGAGTCGTTAATCATGCATGAACAATCCATGTGATTATGAATTAGAATTAGAGACATCAGTATGAACTCATATTTAGTTTAACATAGATGCAGATGGATGCATATAGACATAGTTATGGATATATATACATATACAGGTTAGTAAATACATACTTATTTCCTGGCTCTGTTAGCTGAGATGGTCTAGAGATAAGGACACCCCAAGAGCTAGTTTTTACAAGCACGTAGCGTCCCGATCATAGTGTCTAATACCATTATCCAATATAAAGAACCAGGACTCCTTGGAGAAATGGTTGATTTTAGGATTGGGATAGGAAATATACAAGATGAGCTTGGCGCATTTGCAGTGCCAGAAAGTTAGAAAGTTCTCAAAAAAAAAAAAAAAAAAGAAAAGATGAGACTATGTCACAGGGAGCAAACTGCAGGAGCTCCCAGTGGCCACAACTGGAACAATTTAGTAGTAATATAAAGTATTATGAATTATAACCCAAAATATAGCATAAATATCCGTAAGACCATACTGACATAAATTATTTTGAATAAATAAATAAATGAAAAGAAGAGACACATCTCCTATACAGAAGAATTCCAAATAATTTATGTAAATGTTCCACCATCAAGGAGATAGAGCATAACTTTCCACTGTGGACTGCACCTAGCAACTTC